CATCTTACAATAATATAAAACAGTATAACACAAATTTAAAACATAAAATAAAAGTATTAACCCAAGATGTAGAAGGGGACACATGGGTTGAACTGTTGAACTAGGTAATGTTAAAAGTTCTTATTAGTACCATTATTTCTAGAAATTCTAATAAAGCAATCCCTGTGGTAGGGGCAGGGAGAAGATGTTAAACTAAATCCCTCGGAGAACCACATTTGTAGATTTAACTGGAATACTTCAATGTATACCCAATGGGTTATACATATAACCCAAAGTCTTAGAATAAAAATATCTAAGGCTTAGATTTTAATGAGATCTCCTTCAACATCTTACATATATCTGTAATTGAAAACAGTCCAATAAATATACCATACCAACTATACAATATATACCAACAATATACTATATCAACAGTCAAATTACAAATCTCAAACACCCAAAGTTACATTAAAAAAACTTAATGGGTAAAAGTTAAAAGTCTATGTTTGTACTTACAGTAAATGATTCAAAAACTCTCTCCATTCTTCCCTAGTTTCCTTTTGTCACAACTCCTCAGATCTTTTAGTCATTTGAGAATCAAGTACATTGACAGACCAATTTCATCATTTCCGTTTTGCAAGAGACAAATAGCCACCCAGAGCAGTCTCTCCCTAAAGCCTTACCTGACCATAGGGGGGCCTACACTAATGGCACCCAGGGCCCAGAGTTCATTTGTTAATTAATGAGGTTTAGCTTTGCTGCGTCTTTCAAGTCACCATTCCAAATTATTTAAACTTTATATTTTTTACCAAAATTGCTGTAAGTGTGACTCTAAGTTAGCAAACTTTCCCACTATGCTTTTCTGGCCATTGGGTCTCTGAAAGCAGCCACAGACAACACCTAACTGAACGAGTGTGGCTGCATTCCAACAAAACTTGATATATGGGCCCTAAAATTTGAATTTCATATAATTTTCACACATCACAAAATATTTTTTTCAAAATACTTTTTTTTTTTAATGTCAAAACACTTCTTAGCTCTTGGGCAGAACAATAACAGGCAATAGCAGGCGCCAGGCCAGATTTGGTCTTGGAGCCATGGTTTGCTGATTCCAGATCTAGACTACCAAAATTGTGTCAACAAACAACTCCGCAGTCCCCACAAGGCCTCCAGCAGTAAATATCTGTGGACTGATCCTTTCATCTCTTTTCTTCTATACTGGAGGACTACAGTATGTGTTTGAAATATCCAGGTATCTATTAACACATCAAACAGGAAAGATTTAATTAGTTGTTTCATGGACAGCCCAGAGCTTCAGCATGGATTAAGATTCCCTTTCTCAAAGAAGAGTAACAATCTGCAAATAAAGGTGCATGTGTAGTGGGGGAGGTCTCAGTAGCAGAGGACAGCCAATGCAGCTTTTATAGTCTAAACAAAACATTGGACCAAATCAGTCCATATGCATCACTTCCCTCCCACCCCCAACCCCACCAAAAGGGAGGAGCTTCAGATTGTACCTCTTTCAAAAGCCCTTTCCTAGGTGATGTCTCCTCACTGACACATCTCCCAGCAGAGAAAGTACAGTAGCAGCAGCAGCTTAAATACCCTTTGTAGGAGAAGGCAGACAGACAGCAAACACAGAACTACCAGCAAACATCATAGCCATCAGTCTGATATTTGTAAGAAATCTCTTTGGCTATAGTTTTACCAGTTAGTCTGAAACTGGCTTCTATTTGTGGTTTAAACAACAACAAAAAAAAACCCACAGCCTCATCCATTGTTAATTTCTAGAATGGCATACAACTCTGTCTTAAGAAGAGTTACTGTAGAGTTCAGATATTGTAAGTCCCTAAAAAACTTCCAGTAAAGAGAAAATTAACTTCAAAATAGATGAAGATGTTTCCCTATGTTCAAAGAATTAAGTGGAGGTTGGGGTGGGGGCCATGGGTATGGTATATGAGATACAGCTCACACATTTGAAGGCCATTATATACCAGGAAGCTAAGATCTTTCTTTTTTTTCTTCACATGTTAGCACCAGCTCCTGACTGGGTAACTCATAAATCATCCCTCCAAAAGATAAAGGCTTATATAATCAACAACTGGTATCCTACCAAGTCCTAGAACCACGGAAATATGAAAGACTAACTTTATCAGGAGCCAAATAATCAACAATATTAAAGAAAGAGAACCATTCAAGCCCAGAAATTAGACTTCAATTTAAAATGACTCTCCAGGAATTTTTGCCTACTGATATCTTCCCTGGTTAGACCTGTGCTTTGGTTGTATTTTTACATTTTCTGTGCATATGTGACAAAGCCATCCATAGGACTCTGGCCTAGCTCAGCTGTTGGGTAGAAGGAGCCCTAGAAGGCAGGATACTAACAGGCCAAACAGCAATCATCCTATTACATAAAGATCCTAAATTGAGAGATTACATAGTATGTAGTGGTTGTCTCCCAGACTCTACATTCCACCCAACTCCCCACTATATACATGGTCTGCAATCATGAACTACTGTACAGAGCTTTCCTGGCCCATGAAGAAAATCTTTAGAGAGTGAAAAAGAGTGTGTAAGTCACCAAAACTTATGAGTCAGTGGCACAGGAAGGACCAAACAATTGGATCTCTATGGCTCTGGGGACCAAGCTGAGCCATACAGGCCCCTATTCAATTAGCAAAGAATTTGTCAGGATGAATTAGACTACCAGATGATAGAATGGTAAGAAAGGGGCCGCCCAAGCTGAGGGAAATTCAAAGAGGCTTTCAAATACCAACTTAACAAGTCCTGTCGGCTTTATTTAAATTTGATGGGAAGGCTACAAAATAGTTCTTTCAAGCTTTCAAATCTGTTTTCTGATCTGCCAATCTCAAGAGAAGAAAAGGGAGGCCATGAAGAATAAGTGGCACCTTCAGGCACTGTGAGCGCTACAAACACAAAGCAAAGTGCACACACAAGTTCTCCAATACACAAACTTGCCGGTTCCCACACGGTCTCTGCCTAAAGCCATGGTAGAAGCAGCTGGGGGTGAGTGGAGGGTATTCTCAATTCAATTCTCAGTTCTCAGAAACACATTATGGAGCTCACGATTTAAAGCAAAACCAAATCACAGAAAGCTGATTATTTCAACCATTATCCAACTCCGTCAGGGTGTCTGCCACAAGAACTTGACTTCCCTGGGCAACCTGTGAGAAGGTCACCAAGCAATAAAACACAATAACCATTGGGAGGCAAAAAGTCGTAATCAGATCAAAAATTAGGTAACCAGCTAACTGAAAGCTGGCTCTATCTGCCACTGTAGGGTGACAGTGACAGACACTGGAACAGAGAAAGATGGTAAAGAGAATATCCATCCTAGCCCCTTCTCCAGACAGCAGACAGCTGACCTTTTTAAAAGGAAGTCAAAGCACAATCCCTCTGTGCCCAAAGCCCTCTGTTGCAAGTTGAACTGGGTTCCCTCAAAAAGATGTGCTGAAGCCCTAACTGCCTGTATTTACAAACAGCATCTTTGCAGATGTAACCAAGTTAAGATGAGGCCATACTGGATTAGGGTGGCTCCTAAGCCCGATGACTGGTGTCCTTGTAAGAATGCTGTGTGAGAACACAGATAAGATATGAGAAGGAGGCAAAGGCTAGAGTTATGTTGCCACCAGCCAAGGAACACCAAGAACTGCTGACAACCACCAGAAGCTAGAAGACACAAGGAAGAATTCTTCCCTAGAACCTTTGGAGGGAGTGTGGCCCTGATGACACCTTGATTTCAGACTTCTAGCCTTCAGAACTGAGAGAATACATTTCTGTTGTTTTAAGCCACCCAGTTTGTAGCACATTCTCAAGGCAGTCCTAGGCAGCTAACACATCCTCCGATGGCACTCCAAAAGAAAGCAGCATCATTGCAACACAATCCAGACCACCCCTTACCTGGCTGACTTTATCAACTACTGCCCCCTGCCTAGTCACTCCACTCCAGCCACACATGGCCCCTTCACTGGTCCTCAAACATGCAGCCCAAGTGCCCACCCTCCCACCACAGCGCTCACCCTGTCACAGGCTGGTCCTGTCTTAGACATTTGCAGATGCCATTCCCTCTGCTGAAAGGGTTCTCTCCCCAGGAATCTGCAAGGCTGTTCCCTCAATCTTCCTTCAGAACTCTGCTCAAGTCTCCTTATCAGTAAGACTCCCCCAGATTACCCTTCAGCATCTCCTACTCTCACCCCATACACCCTCCTCCTCCTTCCCCTGCTTCACTTTCCTCCATAATACTTAAGACAAGTTGACATGTATATTTCATTTAACCTTTAAAAGGTTCACCACTCTCTGTAATGTTAGATGGGTGAGAGCAGGACTTTTTCACAGCTGAATCCCAGTGCACTCTATTGAACAGATAAATAAATTCCAGCGAGACAGGTGAAATTTTCAAAACTGGCTGTGTGACAAAAAAGATATCTACTAATTAAGTGGAACAGCAGAAGCTTCTATCGATGAAGGGCAGACTCAAGGCTGGGCTCTGAGGGGCTAGGAAAGGATCTCTGCACCAGGTTTTCTTAGGTAGACTAAGGGGTTCACCACCATTCCTGTGTAGAAGAGCAATTTTGAAACAGCCTCTTAAGATTCCTCCTTATCTAAAAAACCTCAACTCTTACCTATAATTTTTGTCTCTAGCCACACCCTGAAGTCTACTTAGCCTGAGAAATTTGTGAAGCCAAATCTACATGTACCTCCACCACTGCATTCCCTACACACATTTTTGTTTTTTAGGGGCTGAGGGGTAGGGCCCAGCAGGAAAGTTTGATAATGATCATCTCATACTGCAAATGTACAAACTACTTGGGGAAGAAAGCCTCCCTGACTACCACAATCCTAAAACACAAACATTTCAAATAAACCAGGAGCTTTAAAACAGCTCTTTCTCAATAAGGAGACAATCCAAACCTTTTTAATGGCCCTACATTAATAGTTTTCCTTCCCTCAATTACATTTTCAAAAAAAAAAAGAGGCAGATAATGAAAGTCTTTCCTTACCTTGGGTTTTGGCTCCAGGTCCTGCTAATCCTAGTGATGAACCACAGGATTCCTTGAGAGGTGATCTGATGGGTGTTTCAACTTCAGGGGTCTCAAAATTACCTTCAGAATCCGAGCTGCCAAGGGGGAAAAATGAGGAATTACCACTTTCAACGGTATTTCCGACACCCTTGATAATATATATATGTATATATATCCCAAATGGCTAAAGTCCAGAATTCTTGCCTCACTTGACAATCCCACTGGTCCTCAGCATGGATTGACCTGTGGGCGATGCTGTCGATTTTCCAGCAGGGCTTCCTCAGCTTCTACCTGGCATCCTGTCTCCCTGAATTCTCCACCATCCTCCAGAGCTTTTCTCCAGCACCATTAATTTTGATGTCATCTTTCCCTCTGACACCCAGAAAAAAAGCTCTTTTCCACAGACTCCTCTTCTCACAGGAGCCCTTTTCCAGAGCCTTAAAAATTAAGACTGCCCCCTCCCCATAAAAAAGTAAGCCAATTCTCACCACGATGCCTTTTTCTCTGGCAGGCCTCTCTCTACCTGTTATAACGCACTCCGCCGGAGGCAGAGAATGCTGTCACCTGCCTTCTGCAATCACACGGGTGACAGCTCAGCAGAGACCACCATTTCTCACCAGCTGCCAGGGGCCTGTCATCAGGCGACCTTCTTTACCAAGGCTGCATTTTTGGGACACAGTGGGAGTAACTTCTTCCCCAAAGGGAGGACCCCAAGTTCCACCGGGTGTGATCAATGACTGTGTCTGTGTGTGTGTAGGGACGGGGACAGGGAGACTGAAGCTAAGGGAGGCGACTGAGGCAGACCGGGATGCGGAGAGACTGCAGATTCTGGGTTAGGTTCAGAAAGCCCATACTGAGACAGGAGAAAGAAAATACACGGGAGAACAGAACATCCTGAACTTTCGAATGCACAGCGGGGACCTGGTTACAGGCAGGGATGCAGCATTGCCACGAATAGGGTTACGCGGGTGGGCGACCACACACACGCACACTGAGCCGCGGATGGGTGGGTGGGTGGATGGATGGATGGATGGAAGGATGAATGGATGGATGGATGGAAGGATGAATGGATGGATGGCTGGATGGCTGGATGGCTGGCAGCACATTTGCATCTCGGCGGGGATGCGTGTACTTGCCTGAAACTCAAGGATTTGGTCTCGGCTTGCGAGTCCTCCTCCTCGGGGTCGCCCTCGGGCCCTCCGGCCTCGTCGTCTCCGGCGCCCCCGCCGCGCACGGCGGACCAGGTCCATTTCGCCCACTGCACGGGGGACAGGATCTGCCAAGGACTGAACGCCATGAGCGCGGATCCCCCGGCTCCAGCTCCTAAGAGGAGGGGAAGGGGAGAGCCTTTTTCCCTTTCAAAATGGAGGGAACCGGTGACAGGCGCCGTTAAGCGTTTCCAGCGGAGGCGCGGATGTGGTTAAACGAGCGCCGTCGGGGGCCGGGTGGAAGCGCTTCCTCTCGGCGGCAGGCAGTGCCGCTTCCTCCTAGTCCTCCTGCCCCAGTGGGCGGCCGCCGTGCCCCCCACGCCCGGCGGCTCCGCAAGAAGATGCCTCTCCTGGGGCCTCCTCAGGGCTCCGGCGGTGGGCCGGCAGCTCGCGGACTCGTGGCTCGGGACTCGGGCTCCCAGGTTCCCCTTTCCTGCCGGTGCGGCGCGCATCAGCTGCCGCGGGAGCCGCGCCCCAGGAGCCGCCCCCTCGGACCGTACTACTCGCGCGCGCCTGCGGGGGCGGCCGCTGCCGCGGGGCTTTGATGTCTGCGGCGGGCCCTCCGGGTCCCCCCGCCGCGCCAGCACGCTGGTCGCGCCTGGACTGCGGGAAGGGGCTTCCCGGCTGCGGCGGAGCAGACGGGCGCCCCCACAGCTCCGTCAGCGTCTGGAGCTGGGAGGATCCATTTTTGGGGGTCTGTGCACACTGAACTTTTCCTTCCTTCCCTTTTTTATTTGTAAATCTTCATCTTGCCGCTGTGACTTAATGGCGTGGGCGATGTTGGATCGCACAGAAGTTAAGCCCCTTATAAAAAAAAAAACTTTGAGGCCGCTGTTGACTGGCGTTTCTTCCCCTCCTGGGTATTGACAGCGTGGAGGAATTCAGCCTGTCCACCTTCAACCCTATCGCCCCCAAGATTTGGACAGTCCGTCAGCAATGCTACAAGCCTAGCCAAGGAGTGGAAACTTAGATGCTTTGTCCCTCCCCAAACCGCACTCCTGGACTCTGTGTGGCCAGGTCTTGGGTGAAGGGTGCTGAATTACCCTGTGAAATTATAGCCTGATCGGTTTCCCATCCTCCTTTTGAGGCTTTCTTTTCATAACTTCCAAGGCTTTGATTTCTGACTTCGTTTGCTGGTTCAGAAGTATGCCAACAGGCCTGGCGAAGGCAGCCTTCAAAATAAAAACCCTCAGCGCTTGAAGGCAGAACTCTCTGAGGATGTCTTCATTTTCCTTTTAGGGGTTGCTCCTCGCTGAATCATTGGTGCTGCTTAAACACTAGGCTTAATGACCTTGTCTGGATAAGGCGTTTCGTCTGCTATTGTAATTTCCCAGGGTTATGATGTATCTGTGAGGTGGTTGCAGGTTCCCATGAGAGCAGCTCCAGAACTTAGGAACAAGTCGTTGACACGTGTGTTGTTGATGAATCACAACTGTTTAAGCAAAAATAATGCAAGATAGGACGGGCAGGTTGCTTCACCATAACAGAAGAACAGGGATTTGCCCCAAGTCTAGATGAAAGGGGCGGGGGGGGGGGGGTGTTAGGATGGGTACAGAATTCATCCAGCTCCTTCCCAGAGATAAACACAACTGTCATGAGTGTCCTGGAGGCTGTGAAGATGTGAAGAAGCAGAAGTTTGTTTTTTTGGTTTACATGAATATGCCTCAACACTATCCAACTGTATTTTTAAGTTCACGGTTCACTACATAAACCTTCAGATTATAAGACTCCCCAGGTTCCTATATTTAACACAAGTATTTTGTTGCCTGGAAATAATATTATTCCATGTAAATCAGTAACTGGCATGCACTAGGTCCTGTTCATTCTCCCTCCTGAATAGTTCTCAACTCTTTTTACTTCTCTGCATCCTCATTTTTCACAGTTCTACTGTAAATGTCTCCCAAATGGTTCTACCTCAGGTTTTTCTCACCTGAGGTCACTCTGCCTGGCTGATCTGTGATTTGTCCTCTAGTCTTGCTGTTCCTGCCCACCCTATATTCCCAGCCATAATCAGTAGAGAATTTGTGCTGAACCTTTAAATATGTCCAAGAATCATCTGGGCGCTTCTTTAAAAACACAAATTCAAATTGCCAGCAGGATCTGGAAGTCTGTATTTTTTACCAAGTGTCCTGGGGAATTTTTTCACAAGATAAATTTGGGGGAAAACGACTAGCTTGAACCAACTAATGCTTCCTCCCAAACAATCTCCCTTTTTGCCTGCAGTTTTGCACAATCCTCTCCCTGCCCCCACCTTAAGCTCTCTGACCTTGACTGCCTGAACTTCCTTCTCTCCCTGCTCTGGGAAAGCAGGCTGATTTCTCCTTCCTTTCTACCATTTCTATACCCCAAACATCCAGAAAGACTCACTGTGGCCCTTAGACAGTTTTGAAAGGGGACACTATTAATAGTTATACCAGAACAACAGGCATAAACTTCAACATCCAGGATGTAAGGTCACCCTACTTAACATCCTACATATATTTGTTTCTTTATCTGTCCCACTTCTGGACCATAAGTTTTAAATGGCAGGGACCACATTGTATTTATGATTCATTTTTGTTTCTCCAGAGATTAGGACAGGGCCACCCATTCAGTAAGTGTTTAATAAATGTGCAGAACAGGAATATTGTAGTTTACAAATAGACATTTTAGTTTAGCTATGGTGACAAATTCCTAAAGCTTGACTCCTCCTGAAGAAATCAAGTTTTTGAACCAGCATAGAACAAGACCTGGGAGGAGAGATGCCCCAATGAGATAAAGCCCGACATATACAGCAGTTTCTTGAAACTGGAGAAGCAAATTCTCAGTGTCTGAAAAAGCACTCCTCTGCACGCTCCTGTGAACAGCAATAAAGTAACTACTCAATAGCTCGAAATGATTTTATTGTCTAGAAGTACAAGTAATGAGGCTAACTGATGTAAATTTTCTTGTAATTCTGGGAAAGAATGGGCGATGTTTGACAACCGATATCCTAACCACGATAAACAATCATTTTGCTGCTGCGTCCTCAACTTCATGGAGCAAAATGTCTGCAAATACATGACCAAGTAACCAAATGAAACGTATTTGTTTTGGAAATGATCGTAAGCACAAAAATGACCCCATCTGTTCTCTTCCTTCCTCTGCTTCTTGCCCTTCACAGTAACTCTGGATCAATACACCATGAAAATCTAAAATGTAATTCTCTTGAAACACGTTTCAGTGGTGGCCAGGCCAGGCACACAATTTGCCACTAATGGATGCTCCAGAGAGGTCTGCGAAATGGGTCTTTTTTGGTAAGTAAAAAAAAACAACAAACAAAAAAACCCACAAATATATGAATAAGCCAACTCAAACAGGCAAACAACTATCCATTTAGTAGCATAGCTACTGTGAGAATGCCTGTGGCAATGTGGCAGGAGGTGAGGGGCAGAGGCAGGTGGGGCCTAATTGGGAAGGATCTTGTGTACCTGTTAAGGAGTTTGAACTTGATCCTGTAGTAGGGGAGCAAACACAAGTACCTACCTTTATAATGTAAGCAAGTGGCAAGGCCTGAGTGGTAGCTGTGTTACCTGGAAAACACTGCCTTGGCTAAGGAGCAGCCATACCCAGTTCCTGGTGCCCAGCATTGCCAGCTAACAATTTTCCAAGAGAAACCAAAATCCTGGGTTTTGTAAAAATCTTCCAATCTTTTCTTTTTTTTTATCCTCACCCGAGGACATTTTTCCATTTTTTGTTCAGGTAGAGTGGGAGGGAGAGAGAGGAACAGAGAGAGAGAGAAACATCGATGTGAAAGGAACACATCGAGTGGCTGCCACCTGCACAACCGACCAGGGCCAGGGACAAACTGCAACGGAGGTATGCGCCCTTAGCGGGAACCGAACCCGGGTCTCTCAGGACCGCAGGCCGACGCTCTAACCGCTGAGCCAAACCGGCCAGGGCAAATCTTCCAGTCTTTAACATTCTCACTATTTAAATTGTTTTAAACCTTGTGGATGCCAGCACGGTGCAGGACAAACAGAAGCCATCTCCCTGTGTGCCTGAGTGGCCCATGGAGCCTGGATGGACAGAGTGAAGTCATCAGGCTTCGAGTAAGGTAAGTAAAATTTCCATTTAGAAAGAGCATTCTGGAAACAACCTAAGGGCTATGAAACTGCTATTTCCCTGCTCCAAACTACCTAGAGAAGGGGACAGCTTCTCCTCAGAGGGTAAAAGAAGCAGAACTGGAATGAGTGTCCTTATCTCTCTCTCACTCCACTTGTTCCCTAAGTATCAGTGCTGTAAGGAACAGTTGCTGAGTACAAGCCAAGGACAAGGAGAACATTTTAAAGTAGAAGGAAAAGAAAACCTCCTGCTGAGAAAATGGAATTCCTGACACCCAGTGGAATGAGAAGGCATCTGTAAGATGGTGCAGAGGGAGGGGAGGAGGCAAGGAGAGAGGATAGGGTCAGGATAGCACTAAGGAATCACAGAGATAAAATAACCACTGAGAAACCAGAAAGATCAGGCAGACTGACAACCCAGTCAACTTATCTGCATTTCCTAACAACTTAAGAATTTGATGAGCAAAAGAGACATCTATTTCAACAGAGATTAAATGCCAGCTTGATGATGTAACCAAAGTGGCGGGGCAGCTTTGAGGGCTTAGGAAAAGCACTGGCCCATACAGAATTGAAATGGCCAATGGCAACTAGGCTGAGGTGCCTCAGTGGAACCTCAATGGGCTGTCTCCCCCTTCACCACCCTGCCTTTTGAGGGCCATCTGTCCTCTAGATAAAGTTTCCAAGACATGGTAGGGAAGTCCCTGCCTGTGATTACTCCATCAACATGATCACTAAATGTCTTATCCCACTCACCAAGCTAAACACCCTCAACCCTTAGCTTTTTTTCCTCTTGAATATTTAAATGAAGGTCTCTAAGATATCATGATAGTAGTACTTTATATCACCAAAATTTCATCTGATTCTTACAATCATTCCCTCACGCAGTGGGGCAGGTTTTGTAATTCTCAATCTGCTGATAAAGGAACTGAATCAGAAAGGGCAACCACCTGCCAGAAGTCACACAGCTAATTCATACCACAGCTGAATCTAGAACCCTTGTCTCCTACCTTCCAGTACACTCTGCAGTGTAGCAAACTGCAGAAGGAGAATGCCATTGCAACCACCCTGGAGCTAGTGATTCCATCGGCTAAACATTCCTTGGAAATTGTTGCTGCTGCTATGGTCCTGGCTTCCTGCTTACTTGGCACTGGTTACAAAATCACAACTAGGAATACCTCCCTCCCTCAGTGAAAAGCAGCCACTGTCAATAGGAGGCCTGTTTTTCTGACCGACTTCAGCCTAACCAGGCAAGACCCTGCTGATGTCTGTACAAGACAACATTGCCAGTAACGTCATCTGACAGTATTCAGCT